CAAAAGGTTCTATCAAAACTCTAGATAACAAATTAGCTATTCATAATAGTATGTAAAACTACAATACTAAAAGTCATAACCAACAATGAAAAATAGGAAGAGGAAGGAAAAACTTGTAGAAGAATTCTCCGCCTTGCTCCCAATGTGTTCTTGCCTCCAAGGGTGTTGTCTAACCCTAAAGTAGTGTCTCTCCGCCTCCTTAGGTCCAATTTGTGTCCAAAATATGTCCCCCTTTTGTTCTTGGCCGGCCTCCTTTGTTTAATATAGGGTTTAGGACTTAAAATCCCATGTTTTGCACTTTAGTCCCTGAAATATTCGCTTCCTGCCGCGGTTTTGCCGCGGTCGCGGTGGAAGCGCGGCCAAACATGCCCTCTGATTCTTCAGTTGTCCGCGACCATCTTCTGCCGCGGTTCTACCGTGGTCGCGGCAAAACCGCGGTTTTTCACCCTGTTCCGTTTGGAATTTGGAAAAACGTAAAACATGAAAGTTGTAGCCCTTTGAGTTAGCTTTCCAACCATATATTGTGGAGCCCAAATGGAGTTCTGAGCAAAAAGTTATGTCTATTTTACTAGAAAGTGCGCAATATGCCTCCTCAAGTCTTCGTTCGTACTTAATTATCAAATTTGACCCCCGAACACGATCCCGGCTTAATTCCTTGAGCTTTACTCAGACTTCAAAGCTTCAAATCACTTAAATTCATTCCATAACATCTATATAGCTCGGAATCACACCTACAAGGCATAAAACACACAATTAGTGCAAAACACTAGCGATTAAAGCGCAAACTCAATTAAAGTGCAGTAAATTCGAGTGTAATAAGCGACTAAAATATGCAATTATAGCCTATCATCAGCGGTCTCTGAGGAATGAGGTAGGGTTAGAGGTCGTTTGGGATTAAAAAAAAAGCAATGAACGGACGAAGGCCATTGATCTTTTAGATCAACGGCCAGGATTTGATGGGTCTTTGGTCGGGGAGGCGGGTTTAGGGTCTGGGTCGGGTAGTTTGGTTAGAAATTGGGCTGGGGTTGGGTTTAAATTGGGCTAAGATTGAAATGCAGATCTAGCTATATTTTAAATAGCCAATTTTCCCCATATGAATTATAATAAATAATAAATAATATTTGGAAAATAATTTTGTGTACTAAAATAATTTAAAATAGATATTTAACATTTTAAAAATATAGAAGACCGATTTTATGCATATAAATGTAATTATACATTAATGGGGCTAATATTGCAATTATGTGCAATTTAGCTTTAAAAATACAAAATACAATTATAAAAATGCGCAAAAAATATTTTAATCATATTTTGGCATAAATATAGAAATTAAATGACTAAATAATCACAACAATAATTTGAGGGATAATTATTGAGGACTTTATGAATAAAAGGGAGGAGATAAATCAATTTAAATCCTTAACAATTATGGAAAAAATTATTAAAACCTTGTGCATGCCTATATATACATATATATGCTATTTTGAAGGTATTTATGCATATATAAAAAATATAGGGAAAAATTGGGCATCAACAACTAGTAACCATCAATTGTGATAGTCAAGTTGCAATAGCCTACACGAAGGATCCTAAGTACCATGGAAAGACGAAACATATTAATATTAAGTATAATTTTGTTAGAGACATGGTTGTAAATAAAGAAGTGAGCATAAAATACATCTCTATAGACCTTATGGTAGTAGATCCATTAACAAAACCTATAGCATATGATGCATATGAAAGACATGTGAAGTCTTGGGTTTGCGTAGATGCTAGGGTATTCATATTTTTAATTATTCCCAAAAAAATTCATGTAAAGCTACATTATTAAAGTTAATAATAGTGATGACTAATTAATTATTCTTGTTCGCTCATATACATATAATTTTTTTTTTATGTTGAGTACATAAATTTTTATTTTAAATATAAAAAGTATGTCGGACAGACAAACCGATTTGCCTATTCACATAGGAGATCGCCTCTATTGTCAAGTGCCTAATAGAGATGAGACAATAATAAAATTATTATTATCACAAACGATAATAATAGAGAGATTTATGTTTATAATATGAATGTCATTTTTGAATTTATGGTGTATCATGTATAATTAAGTTATGATAGTCTGTCTTAATGCTAGAAATGAGTCCTGATAGATAGATAAAATAAAGAGTAGATTTACGAACTCAAAGTTAGGCATGAGTTGTCTGAACTATCATCTGCACAGTATTGAATTTGTAAATGACTTACGCTCCACGCGAAATGAGTCAAATACTGTGATACGTGATTCATGCCACATATGCATAAAATGACTTATAAGGATGGTACAAGTTTTAATTTCTGCTTTCTATCGTGTGAAGTCCTGAAAATTATTAGTAATTTTCACATCCCTCATGACTCTGACCAGTTTCTTAATATTCAGTTTGGTGTTTGCTATCTTAGAGTGTTGCCAAGAGATCATGTTTGATTCGGTCTAGCGCAATATCTCTAGAAAAGCATATCAGATTGAAATTGAGAGATTCATGAGACGAGAAAGATCATTAAGTATTATCACATTATTGTGTTCATTGATCGATCCATTATATTTATTCTTTGGACAAGAACATAATGATGAACTAAAATTAAGATAAAAGAGATTGTGGCATATGAATGTGATAAATGATCTAGGCTACTGCATACTATTATCTACTTCAAATTCCATTAAATCGAAAAGCTATATATTTCTAACAGATGTATAGTAGTGAAGCTCTCGAAGTATGCACCGGTCACACCGTCTAGTCGTTATGTATGAATGTTACAGAATATGAGTGAGAGTTGACTCACTATGCGTGAGTGGGAAATGAAAGAAATTAGACTTGGGCCACCCATATGAGCCAACCCAGTCCATATCTAATAAGTAAATATATTTATATATGTATAATATCTAATTAAAATAAAAGAAGAGACACAACGGTTAGGACTCCCTAAACCGTTGTGTCGTATCTATTCAATAAAAGAGGAGTCTGCGTGAGAATTCCGGTATTGAATTGTCTCCTCCTTCAACAGAAAAAATCCCCTTATTGTCTCACGAAATTCTAAAGAGTTCCTGTGAAGATCTCTTCTGCGGAACACTTGAAACGAATCTTTGTAACAAGGTACAATCATAGATAGTGAACTTTGTAGTTTAATTTGTGTATTAACATGTGATTGAACTATTTGACTAGTGAAACCAATACAATGATCCTGCAAACTATGTGTTTGATTTAGTTATTCACTTTTATATTCTTCAGTACTGTTCTACTATTCATATAGTTGTACTAGAGTTTATATGTTGAGATGTTGTAGTGCTCATGTACTCGTTGACATTAGATTTTGGGATGGTTGTAGTATAGTTTCAGTTACTTTTCTCAGATATTTATGAGATTTTCCGTTGCTGAGTTTATTAAAACATATTTTATTCAAATATTTAGCTGTTATGTGGTTGTCGGCTTGCCTAGCAAGTGTGTTAGGTGCCATCACAAGAGGTTGGGATTTTCGGTCGTGACATGAGTTGGTGAATGAAAGCTTTTTTTCTCCTTTCATTAGTTGTCTACTAACTGTTTATGGGCATTTCAATTTTCTTGCGTAGACGTCAGGATCTATGTTGGTCCTTGATTCTGGGCTTACAAGTTGGACCTCTATTATGCAGCCTCTCTATTAATACATGGGTTAAATATTTTTTTGAATGAAGTTACTTGAAAATATGTTTTAAGAAAAAAACTGTGCAAAAAGGAAATATGTCTGGATATATAGTTGCATCTCTTCAAAGAATTATTGTAAAGCCCCAACTATTTTAACGACCTCTTAAACCTTGAATTAGCACTCGTACTAAGAAATTTTTAAGGAAGAATCTATTTCAAATTCCTAAGTTGGAAACAGTGCTTAAATAGATGTTAAAGGATGATCTGAAATCAAGTTATATGAGTCCAATGACCAAAAGATGGGAAGAAAGTGTTAGAGTCCAAATGTAGAAAACAACTCAGTTTCGCTCCAACACGCAACCGCCACACGACCTGAATTTGGTCAATATAGAAAAACAGTTTTGTTATTCTCCAGCACGCAACCGCCAATCGATCACCCGAGGGTATAAATTCCAGATTTTATGAAAGACTATTCTTTTAGGATTTTGAGTATTAGGTCCTCTCCCACATTGCAAGCAGGAAGTTGGGCAAACTCCACACTCAAAGGTTAGTAATTCATGAGAAAATACATAGATTTTCATCATATAATTGAATCTTCGCGTGGGCAAAGAGAGAGAAGAAAGGGCTAGGTCAACCTTATGGATTGTGTAGCATAAGGAGGGTATAGGAAATAGAAATGCTCAAAGAAGAGCTCAAGAGAAGGGTGTAGGCGTTGAGTGGGGCTAGTCAGCGCCTTGAAGTACACAAAATACCGACTGGTATAAAGTAGGTCAGGAAGCTTGACATGACAGAAGTTCGAGCTGAACCAAACTAGCAGATACTGGGGCGATTGGTGGTTCGGGCAGTGGAAGGGCTTGGAAGGCAATGCTCCTAACATCAAATCACTTGAAAAATTCTTAGATTTCAAGGAACACCTTCAGATCACTCAACAAGGAAAAAAACTAGGATTTTTGAGTTTTTGGATATCTCTTACTCTACGGTTTAATAATACAACCGATTAAGATTATGAATGACGTACTCATGTTCGAAACACCCAAAGAATAAGATTTCAAGCAAAACCTAGAAATCAAAGATTTAGTGTTAGGGCTTTTTTTCAGAAAAAGTTTAGATAAAGAAAAAAATGAATTTCTTTGAGATATTACAAACATTGATTGAGTTGTTTAGTGTAGATTGTAGTGATTAACTGTGGTTGGCACATGTGGATGCTAATCTTTCCAGAAATGAAGGATCTTTACGGTGAGATGAGGTTTCTTCCTTAGGTTACGGGCTAGATTAGAATGTACAAATTAGTTATTTTACTTGCCTTATTTTTAGAATAATAACTATATATAAAAATAAAAAATATATAATGATAGAGAATGATTAGATTTCATGATTTGTTTCCATTATTTTCTTATGTGCAATTGTGTGATTATGTGAAGTTACATGTATTGCTCAGACTTTCAGCTCATATTTACAATAAAAGATTATTAGTTTCTTGAAGTGTCGTGATTTCTTGTTTATGTGCAATTGCTTGTATGGCTCAGACTTTCCATTCATATTCAGACAAATGTGATCACATTCAGAAAGGGAGAAGCAGCCAACCTTCCCCAGTATGAGTGCCAATATAGCCAGGGTTAGCTGCCCCATGCTTGCAGGTACTTATTGTTTGTTAGGGAAATAGGACGACACTCCCCCGTGCGTGTTTCTAGATGCTCACGTTCGTAGGTACAAATTATTTGTTGGAGAGATAGGCCAACACATGCTCGTGCATGTTCCTAGATTCTCAAGTACACAGGGCCAATTGTTTGTTGGGAAAATAGATCGACACTCCGCCGTGCGTAGTACGCAGAGCCACTATGTGCAAATTTTTTAGAAAAGTTATTTCTTTAGGAATAATTCAGTTTTCAACTTCAGTTTCAGATATTAGTTTCTGACTTAGCTTTCAGATTTACTTTTAATTAGATTTCAGTTAAATTTAGTTATCAGATACAGACTCAGATTTCAGTTAACTTTCAATCATCAGATACAATTCAATTTTCCGTTTCAGATTTGAGTTATCAATTTAACTTCAGTCTTCAGAATCACTTTCAGCTTTTAAATCATTCAGTTAGCTATGTGAATTGACTGCTCTATTTGTTGCATTTCATTATGTTTATATATTTAGCTCATGCTAGTCTTGTCCTCCGATTAAGGGATTGTCAATAAGACTTTTTCAGTATTCTTTAGTGGTACTTAACCCGTTTGGGCATGCCATGTTATGTGGCAGGCTTTGAGTTTGCAGGTGACGAAGCTTGTGATTAGAGACGGGTTCAATTAACTCAGTGGCAAGCCGTGATTGTTTTCAATGGTGTCAATATTACTTTCATACCTCTAGCTATTGTTAGATGCTTATAAAATTTAGGGGAATGCCCCAAGATTTATGTATTCAGACATCATTTAGAGGCTTATAACTTTGCTAGTGCGCTTAGTCGTCAGACATGTTGAGTTTTATGTTATGATTAAGTTTTCAGACAGTTATTGTCTTATGATTTATTTGTGATTTTTCATGGGAATGATATTTTTTTTAAAAAAAAAAAAAAATCAATTAGTTATAATGAGGATTGCTCAACGGGTAAGGTAGGTTGAGCCCCGTCACATTCCACCCCAATTACGGGGCATAATATTTATATATAAGAATTGTATTAGTTGGAAAAAGATAAATATATTGCCACGACCCAAAACTAAGGTAGGATGTAATGTCACTCAACCTACCTTGTCTTTCAAGCAAGGCATGTTTTAATTAACTGAAAAAGTTTGAACTGTACATAATAGCGAAGAAATTCACAAATAAGTTTTAATATGATAATCCTATGAAAAATGGAATTGTAAAATAAATATTAACATGTCTGATAATTGAATAGACTAGCAAAGTCATGAGCCTCTAACTGTAAGTCAGAATACATAAGTCTACTGGGCATACCCCTAGATGATATGAAAGTCAAAAGATAATTAAACACCATAGAAAGGACACCACCACCATGGAAAAGATTCAACGGTTCACCAACTGAATCAACTAGATCTGCTCCTAGCCATGGGCCTCGTCACCTACAAACTCAACGCCTATCATACGATGTGGTAGGCCCAAATAGGGTAAGTACCACCAAAGGATAGCCAAAAAGTCTCGCTGGTAACCCTTAAGCGGAGGACAAGACTAGCATATGATGTATAAATATAATAAATATAGCAAGTAGGGTAGGAAATTCACGTAATAAATAATGGATAATCTGCAAACTAAAACTGATTCTGAAAACTGAATTTAAAACTGATAATTGAAAGCTAAAACTAAAAATTCAATCTGTATCTGATAACTAAAAACTAATTGAAAAATGAGTTACTTTTTAAGAAACAACTTTTCTAAATTATTTGCACATAGTGGTCAGGCGTACGTGAGCATATGAGAACATGCATGGAAATTGCTAAGAGTTATTAAAATATTTGCACATAGTGGCCATACGTACCTGACATATGGGAACATGCATGGGAACTTGTCACGGTCCAAATTCTCCCTCCGTGAATTTGTCGTGTCGGCACCTAGTCTCTACGACTAGGTAAGCCTAATAATTAGCGGAAATAAAATGGAAACATGAAAATTAACAATTAACAAGGAAATTTAAATAAGCAATTAAGATGCCGCTCGGCATATACATTAATCACTCTCGAAATGTACACAACTATCCCAAAATCCGGAAAATCGTGAATCACAAACTACAGAATGAAATCAGTATCTCTATACTCCAGAGTCTAACAAAAAGGAAATATAGGAAGTGTTTGACATGAGGAAGAGGAGAAGGGGACTCCGAGCTCTGCGGACGCAACAGATATATCTTGAAATCTCCAAAGCTGTCTCGACTCACTGATGATGCAGCTGATAAGCGGTACCTGAATCTGCAAACAAAAAAATTATGCAGTGAAGGGCATGATTATACCACAACGGTACCCAGTAAGTGCCAAGCCTAACCTCGGTCGAGTAGTGACGAGGTCAGGTCTGGCCCTACTAGTATATATATAATAAAACAAGGCAGAATGAAATATTGTAGTAAAATAAAGACTGAAATTTAACAAGAATGAAATCACAGAAGGTAACAGCTCAGTACACAGAGATAACAACAGGGGATCTCTCGAGATACCGTCTCGTAGTCCCAAACGTAAATGTGCAGGGGGATCTCCCCAGAATACCGTTCCGTAGTCCCAAAGTAAATATGCAAGACAGGGTGATCTCCCGGAATACCGTTCCATAGTCCTAAAGTAAATATGCAGAGGGATCTCCCAGAATACCGTTCCGTAGTCCCAAAAGTAAACAGCTCTACAGTAGAAATAACAGTTACAATACGAAATCCTACAATTTAGACTAAGTACAAGTAAAGGAAAAAGCAGGGAATTCATTAATCATGCCGCACAAAGTTCAGATAAGAAACTAAGACACATAGACATGCTATTCTAAACTAAACAGGATGATTACATATGCTAGTGTAGCTCAAATAAAGTGAAACGGGTTATTACTTAGTGAAAAATAGAGTTTTACAACAAATCTCCCATGTACGCACTCGTCACCTCACGTACACGGTGCTCACATATCAAAGAGTACCAAATCCTAAGGGGAGTTTCCCCCACACAAGGTTAGGCAAGCCACTTACCTCGAACCAAGCTCAATCAATCAGTCACAATGCCTTTCCCACTACTATCCGGCTCCGAGTGGCCCAAATCTAGCCAAAATCAATTACATAACATAAATATAACTACAAGAATTAATCTACCTAATGAAATCAAAGCTAATGCAATAAATTGGAAAAATCGCACAAAAAGCCTCCCTAGGACCACCTCTCGGAATCAGGTAAAAGTCACCAAATATGAACAATCATTCACTCACGAGTTCACTCGTACCAAAATTATCCAAATCCGACATCAAAATCCCAATCAAAACTCAAAAACTTAGTTGAAGAACTTCCACCCTTCTTCCCCAAATTTCTCACCCAAAATCCATAATTAAATGATGAAATCAACTATAGATTAATGGAATACAACCAAGAATGAGTTAGGAATCATTACCCAATAGCTTCCTCTGAAAATCCTTCAAGTTATCGCCTAAATCCGAGCTCTAAAAGTCCCAAAATGAAATGAGATCAAACCCTTGAAATTTCCCCTTTTCTGCCCAGCGATCTCGCACCTGCGGTCCAAGAATCGTACTTGCGACACCGCACCTGCGGAATTTCCATCGCAACTGCGGAAATGACTTAAAGGAACTAGGTCCATTTGCGAGCAATGGGCCGCTCTTGTGGAACTTCTCTGATTCTGCGGTCCTTCACCGCTTCTGCGCGTGCTTCTTCGCACTTGTGAGCCAGCACCTGCGGTCTCCCCACCGCAGGTGCGAAAACACCAAAACTCATATAGCTTCAGCAATTGCATAAGTCCAAAATTCATCCCGTTAAGCATCCAAAACTCACCCGAGGCCTCCGGGACCTCAATCAAATATACCAACAAGTTCTAAAATACCATACGAACATAGTCGAGCCCTCAAATCACATCAAACATCGCTAAAAACACGAATCACCCTCCAAATCAAACTTAAAGAACTTGAAACTTTCAAATTTCCAAAATCGATGCCGAAACCTATGAAATCACGTCCGATTGATCCTAAATTTTGCACACAAGTCATATTCAATACTAAGGACCTACTCCAACTACTGGAATTGGAATCCTACCCCGATATCAAAAATTCTACTACCGGTCCAAATCTCCAAAAATTCGACTTTCGTCATTTCAAGCCTAAATGAGCTACGGACCTCCAAAACACAATTCGAACGTGCGCCTAAGCCCAAAATCACCCAAAGGGCTAACGGAATCAACGGAACTCCATTCTGGAGTCATCTTTACACAGTTCCGACTACGGTCCAAATCATAAGACTTAAGCTTCCGTTTAGGGACTAAGTGTCCCAAAACACTCCAAAAACCAAAATGAAACTTCCCGGCAAGTCACAATAGCAGAAAAAGATATGGGGAAAGCAGTTAATAGGGGATGGAGGGTATAACTCTCAAAACGATCAACCGGGTCGTTACAGAATTGCTAAAGTTGCTATTGGGTCTTATGCTCACTCAAGCTCAACTCATATGTAGAGTCATCGAGTAGCTCAATCAAGCAACCCATCTGAGTGAGTTAATAGGGCCTCTGATTATGCTCACTCAAGTTCAACATATATATGGGACCATTAAGTAGCTCAATAAAGCTCAACCTATCTGAGCGCATTCGCACCTACAAGTATGATGTAGCTAACCCTGGCCACCGTGACAGTCATACTCAGGAAAATTGGCTATTTATCTCTTTTTTAATGTAATCATAGTAATTTGAACTAAAAGTCTGAACAGTATAAGTAATTGCACATAAATAAGCAATGAAGACATATCTTAGAGACTAATCATTTTCTGCTCTAAATATGAACTCAAGCCCTAAGCAACACAAGTAACTTCACATAAGCAAATAATTACACATAGGCAAAAATATAACTGCAATAAATTATACAATATAGTTATCTTCTGTCACAGAAGTTTTTCAATGGCATGTATAATTTATTCTAAAAAATAAGCAAGCAAACAAGTAATTTACTATGCGTATTCTAATCTAGCCCTTAACTTAGAGAAGAAACCTCAACTCACCTGAATTGATGGTCAAAAACTCTACTAACGAATTCGTGTATTCAAACCCTTCGAGAATTTGCAATAAGGGGTTAGAACAATTACCACAACTATTAACTTCGACCAAATTTATCAAATTAGATTTTACTCGGGTCATAAATGGGTTTATATTATTTTTCCCATGAAGTCTATCATTCCAACAATTCATGCATCTAAAGTTTCTAATATTGATAGTAGAGTACAAAAAATTTACCTTAGATATTACTCTTAGGATCCTTAGATCTTGGGATCTTGAAAACCTAGGATTTTAAATTTTTTGGGTGTTAAATAATATAAATCTAAAGCTTCTAACGTAAATTCATGGTATGGATCTTATCTTGGGTAGATTCATTACTAGAAAACTGTGAAAAATCGTCTAGAACCGAACGAAATCGGTCTAAAAATTAGAAATATCGATCGACTTTCGACAGACTTTAATCCGTCAAAATTAAGTCAGTCGATAATAAATAGCGACCGAAGTCGGTTGCAATTTCCGACCGATTTCGACCGGTCAATTAAATTTCACAAACGGCCAAAAAAATTTGCCGAAAGTATTTTTCGACCGAAGTCGGTTGGTAAAAATACACCTTCTGGGAATCGAACCGACGTATGTACTATGGCAGGGATACTATTCTGCCACTAGACCATTGGTAAATTTTGGTTTAAGACTTTCTTTTATTTTATTTGTACTCTTTAATTGTATTTTCGCGAAAAAATAACCCACCGATTTCGGACGATTTTATTAAAAATATAAAATTACCGACCAAAGTCGATTGGTTTTTTAAAATGGCCGACTGAAATAACCGACCGGTTTCAGTCAGTTTATTGAATATT